AGTCTTGATTATGACTATCTTGACAGTTCTCTGTAGATGGCTTAGTCACTGATTTCCCACCAACAGCATCACAAGCCATCAGTGAGATGACCATTACCATATATATACATGTCTACTCCAAAACTTGAAGCTAACGGCACATGATTTTGTTCTCTTGCAGCTTGCTTATCTCACCAAAAGAGAAATCTCCCCAAAATAGTCAATGCGTTGTTCATAACACACGATGGAGCAAGTGGAGATTATCCAGGCTGCACTGATTTGGCTTATCAAAAGGCGGTGGAAGATGGAGCAGATGTGATAGACTGTTCTGTCCAGATGACCAAATACGGAATGAGTTTCTGCCATGGTTCTGCAGACCTCACAGCAACCACCAATGCCATGACCACTTTCATGTCCAGANGCGGAGATCCAGTCTCTGAAGCGTAAGAAACTCTTTCTGAAACTATTCTTACTCTCAACTAAAAATTGCTAAGATTTGAATTGTCTTTTTGTCTCCAGCTCAAATCCAGAGCCCCTTCTCAAGTGATGGGGAATTCCAGAGAAACCCAGCAAACAAGAATGCAGGGAAGTTCATGACTCTCGCTGACTTCCTGGAGTTTGGGAAAACAAAGGCAGTCACTGGATGTTACTCTTTTTTTTACAGTTATGTCATGGACAAGGACAAGAAGAAAGCTCCTGAGCTAAGACAGGTTTTCTTCATCTATCTTAAGCTTCTTGCATCTAGCTGCATTCAGTGCTTAGCTTCTTCTTTTGAGTTTGTAGTTATCTAAACTTAGAGTTCGATCAGATACAGCCTATCTCATATTGTTTGTATTCACTTGAAAACATTTGAAAAGTAGTTAGTAATACATAGGGTAGATTAATGATTTTCCCAGATGAATTGAGTATTTGAAGCAATCAGCTTTGGTAATTTCTCCACGATGAGACGTTAACTTGGGCCTGGCTTGTATGCTTAGGTGATAGCTGCAGCAGTTGCAAGCGACAAGGAGAAATATAACGAAGCATTTCTAGGGAAGCCTAATGAAGAATACTGTGCCTGGATTCTCAATCCGGAGAAGTGGGGAGGTATCTCTTTTGCCTTTCAATGTCTCTTTGGTTCATGATATGCTTACAAAGTTTCATGTATTGATAACAGTGTCTTTCCATTCTCTTTTTTTTTTTTTTTTTTTTTGTGTTAGGTGCGATTGAGCTTTCAATATTAGCAGACTATTATGGTCGAGAAATTGGAGCTTATGATATTCAAACTAGTCGATGTGACTTGTATGGACATGTACCATCTAACTCTCAAACATTCAAGTTCTGCAAAGATAAGTATTGAACACAGTAGTTATTACTCTATTTTGCAGACCAAAAACTACAGCGAAAGAGTTATGCTGATCTATGACGGTCTTCATTATGATGCTCTCGCTGTAAGTTGATATATATACTCCATTTGAGAAGGTAGGTTGATAAACAAGCTTGTAGCTTAATTATTTTTCCTTGTTGCAAATTTTTGTAGTTGTCTCCATTTGAAGATGCGGAGGAAGACTTTGATATGACTATATTTCCGGTTGGTAAAGATAGATCCATTGGTGCTATAGAAAGGCTTGTTTTAAATCTAGTAAAGAACCAACAAAGGTAATAGCAGATAAGGTGTTACCTATAGACTATTGTGTTATGGTGGCTTATGGAAAGAAGAGTAAGGCCTTATGAGTTTGGTTTATATGTTTCAGGAAAAGGAGTTACACAGATACTGCAAACTTCACTCTGTGTTGTGGTGTTTGCCAAATTGGAGTTATTGGACAAAAGGTCATCGTCTTTTTTTTTCATCTCTCATGGAATCACTTGTCATTATTTGTGCTTCATAGATCAATAGAGATTGAGCTGTTGAAATTTGTAACTGAAACAGGAGGCTGTGGAGCATGCTCAAGCAACTGGTCATGTCAACTTTCAAGAATACCATTAAGAGAATGATTCGATTGATTTTAATTTTATCTTGTCAACAAATTCAAATTCAGTCTGTTGTACAATTCATCTTCTGTTTTTCTTTCTATAGATGCATCCTCTTCAGGAGGAGCATCATTGTTGTCTCATCAATAATGTCATGAAAGTTTGGACGTATTAGTCTTCATCTTCTTTTGGTTCAAAATAAAAACATTCCACACATGTTCAGTCAGATTCAGAGCAGCTTTTAGCTTTTTACTGCAGGGACATGAGAATTGTTCTTCTTCTTTTTTACCACCAAGCACATGATAATTGTAATTATAATTCAACAGATTTGACTATCAAATTTAATAAATGTGTTGTAAATTTTTCTTACTGGTAAAATGTTGAAATATAAACTTCTACCATAAAGTGCTTGCATTTTTGCGGGAAACTAACTATATATTATATAATCTGATGAATATGTTTAAGGAACAATAGCCTGTCTTACTCTGCTAAAAGGTTTATCTTCCATAAAGATGAGACAACAATATTATAGTACACAGTTTGCTTAATTTGCTAAGGACCAAATAACATACATAATCTAAAACTCCGGTCTAAACCGTTTTTGCTGGCTTCTGACTGCTTCAACCGGAACATTATTAGCAAACAAAAATTTCATGTTTGATAAAATTATAAAATAGACTTACAAGTACATCTACAATTATTAGCAAACAATATAGTTAAACCAAAAATTATATCATAGACTTACAAGTACGTCTACAAATTTTAAGCTAACAACATAGACAAACAAAAAATTTGATAACTTCCTAATTATAACAGATTATCTTCTGAAAATC